ATTTGCCCCCCCCCCCCCCCCCTATTGGACACTGAAAATTGATAATCTTCAACTTTTTAGTCTTTTCATCAGTAACATTTTTATTATAAATTTAACAAAAGAAGTTCAAAAATTGATACTCAACCTTTTATTATAATTGTACAATCAATATCTATTAACTAAAACTATACACATTTATGATAAGTTTGGAGCTGTCGATTGCATTATATATTTATAGTGTAAGTTTTAAACTTTGACATTCTTTAAAAAAAAAAAAAAAAAAAAGGCAGGGGGGGTCAATTGACCCTATTGGACACCCCCCCTGGTTCCACCCCTGGCAAATGATACTGAAATTTGATAACCTTCAACTTTTTAGTCTTTTCATTAGTAAAATTTTTATTATAAAATTAACAAAAGTTGTTAAAAAATTGATACTCGACCTTTTATTATAATTGTACAATCAACATCTATTAACTAAAACTATACACATCTATGATAAATCATCATGCGACATTTTCATGTTTTATAACGCTCGATTGCATTTGAGAACTTAAGTTAGCGCTCACAATTTTGAATTGGGGTATATTAACGTTCACATTTTTTTTAAAAATAAAAAATAAAAAAATCTAGAATTGATTATTGAACGCTTTCATTGATAAATATATAGAGGTTGGATAGCGGGTAGTTTCTTGTAATACCAAAATAATATAGACTGGAGACAAATTTTTTAATTATCTCAAAATCTTAATCATATAGAGATGCGAACAATAAACATAATGAAGATGAAACAATTAATAGATCAGAGGCTAATCGTATAATTTTTTCAACTTTATCACGTAGAGACACGACCGTGGAACAAAATGGGGCTCAAAATTTTAAAGTGATATTTGTTATACAATATTGTACGTAATTACATGGTATAATAAATAATATGTTAATTTGATTAATAAAGCCATATGGTGATCATTTGCACGTCACATGTCATATAGATTGATGATAATTTCTAATGATGATAAATAACATTATTCTTTTTTTTTTCTTTTGTAATATTGTATGTTATAATTACCTTAGAAAACGCATCATCTAAGTGCTTGTTTGGTAGGGATTTTGATAATTGATTTTTTGATCGTCAGAGATAAAGTGAATCCTACCTGCGAGAGAAGAATTAAAAAATGAAGGCTAAAATAGTGAAATAACAGTCAAAAAATTGATTTTAATTAGCTTAAAAACTCTACCAAACAAGCTCTAAGTATTGAAACCTTGAATAGTAGTTATATGTACTATGCTAAACTTCCCTTCGTAAAGAAATTAAATAAAAAAAGAAAAATAGAAGATATATTATTTTTGTTTATGTTTTGTCAATTTCAGCAGATTTGGTCCACGATTTTCCTTATGTGAACACAAACAAAAATATTTGAAATAGATTACTTGTTTATGTTTCTAAACCTGTATAACCATACATTAATATCCTATTTTTCAAGACAAGGACTCATCACAATGAATGGACACCATAGGCTATCAAGACGGACAAATTTATTGAACATAATTTTTGAGTCAATGGTCGAGCCTAACTATAGGAACATTAGGAAATTCTTTAGCCTTCGAACCTCGATCACGACTTAAAATTTATCATTACTGGACTAACAATTCTCAGAAGTTTACCAATCCCACGATGGAAAAAATCATTTCAGCATGATGCATATAAATCTTCAAAGTTCATAAAAATTCAATCATACAGGTACTGTCAATGCTGTTAACCCTGCACAAACAAGTGCGATTGGTTCATTTTACATATTTTTAATGATTTTGATTAGAAATCCAATTTTCCTCTATTGTCCGTTGGAATACTTCTCTACAATCTACATATTTAAATCAATATAAATTGTATGTGATGAAAAAAGTACCTCGAACCGTTCTACTCTCAATGAACTAGTTGAATGCTAATTAGACAATGACTAATTATATGTGGAGGAGCACTAGAGGAGACCTCTCTAGATGCTTGACCAGGGCATTATCCTAATGATTCATTTTTAATGTTTAATTGTGTCAATCCATAATCATTATAGGCATATAGTTTCATACCACGAATACAAGCCAAAAGTTGTGAATTAATTGTGTGTCACCGTTTTAGAGTTTTCACATCAATTACTTTATAGAATGTACTATTTGTGCAATTTGGTCGATGAGAGACTTGTAGCAAAAGTCCATCGTCTTGGTTAAATACTACAGCAAAAATGTGATGAATTATCTCGTGCAATAATAACATTCTAAGCAAGATATCTCAAGGCATGTCATAATTGTTTCAAAAGAAGCATGTGAAACAGGGAATGCGAAATGGAGTGCTGATTTTGCATGGCATTTTGCTTAACTAGCTCTCACATGATTTGCGATGTGGGCACAGGCCTAACAAATAAAAAGTCAAGATACAATCCTAGAGTAAGGCAGTCAGCTAAACAAAGTTAATTTTCATGATATATAACTTTAATATAAAATTTTAGATGCGGAAAGAGAAATGTGTTCCCATATAGCTCCTGTTTGAGCCCACTTTTTTTTTTTTTTTTTTAAATTCATTTTTAATCACACATTCTCTCATAAAATAATTTTACATGAATTTAAATTCTTCTTTAATTTTTAATCATATATTTTCTTCAAAAGGGCATCAAGATGTGCTATGTGTACAAAAAATTTGTACAAATTACATTACATAAATCCACTATTAGGAAATTTTAAATTTGTTATGTGGGCCTACAAATATAATTAATGTGGAAATTACAGAAAACCATACTATTAAAATTACCATTTCAAAAATCAAATCCAAGTTTTGTATATTCAGACATCAGAAATTAATTTAATTATTATAAATCAATATATTAATAATATTATTATAAATTAATTTATATTCACAAACCCTACTCTAAAAAGGACCAAGCTTCTTTCCTCTCCCATCATTTTCTCCACCATCATCTCCACTGCCGTCGAGTTGCCGCTACAGTAACTGCTCTTGTGTGAGCGTCGCTATTGCGATGGCGAGTCGCAGCGGAGCGATTTGAAGCGACATCACAAGCGATGGTGTTTGTGTTGTCGCGATTTGTTGTGGTGGTTTGTGTGGTGACATTTTGTGGTGGTGGAGTGGACGATTGGGTGAGTAACAGTGTTGCGATGTGTTTGTGCAGTGGTGATTTTGGGTGTGGTGGTGATGATGATTGTGTTGTAGTTGATCTGATGGTTCGGGTGGTTTGTGTAGTGGCGGTGGCGACGTGGTGGATTAGGTGGTAGGGGCGATGGCACCTTCTCCCTTCGTCTCTCCTGCTCTCCCTCTCCCTCAGTACCGTCACTACAGCACCTCGATTGGATGTGCGGTGGTGTGGGTGGTCACTACAGCACCTTGATTTTTTATTCGATCTGCTTAGCGCAATGGTTAATGACGGTGGTTCTTGAACAGCAGGTGGTTTTATGTGTGGGAATGACATTGGTGACGCGATCTGGTGTTCGCGGTGGTACAATGCTTTAAGGCGGTGGTCGGGGTGGGATGGATTGAATGGTTTGACCAATTATCTACGTGATTGCTGTTAATAATTGGATACGTGGCCTGATAATTGTGACTGCGACCTCTGATTGTGACTCACAATTGATTGAGTTGTGATCGAAAAGTTAATCGTGACCTGAAAATTGTGATTGTGACTCACTTTTGATTAAATTGTGATTGAAAAAAATAATCGTGACCAATTAATTCAATAATTTGCAATGAGTAAATAAGTTGTGATCAATAATATTTTTGAATATGTGACATATAAATTTTGTGAATTTGCAATCAAAAATTATCCCGTGACTTATAAAAATTTTGATTTTTGACCAAGAAATAAGTTGTGATCAATAATTTGATAATTTGTGACTAAAAATTAATTCGTGACTAATTAATTAGATAACTGTGACCAAAAATTATCCCGTGACTTATAAATCTTTTTTATTCGTGACTTAAAAATAATATGTGACGTATAAAATTTTCGATCTGTGATCAATAATTTGATTAGTTGTGACTAAAGATTAATTCGTAACTAATTAATTTTTTGATTTGTGACCAATGAATAAACTGTGACCTATAAAATTTTTGAATTGTGATCGTAAAATAATTTGTGACATAAAATAATAAGTGACTAATTAAATTGTTAATTTGTGATCAAATTGTATAGATATGTGACCTAAATATATTTAATTAATTAATTAAATCATAAATATATTTTAATAAAAATCTGATTTTTGAAGTTTTAAACTTGTTTTCTTAATTTTGAAATATATAATACTTAATTTCTTAC